CCAAAGCAGCTGCTGTGGAACTATAAGTCCCATGAGGCATTGCAAGACTCCTGACAGTCACAGACATATCTCCCAGAGGCAGATGCATGATGGGAATCGTAGTTTCACCACAGCTGGAGGGCTGAAGTTAGCCTACACCTGGTTTACATGGAATGTTCCCACAGCCACACCTGTCTGTGAGGCAGCCATCTTGATACAAAACACTGACAACATATGAGTCGGTTTATAAATGTCCCCCTAGCGAGCTGCTGACGTGTCAGATTTGGATAAAAATGGCAGCGGGCCTCTGGGGGATTGTCACTTTAAATGCCTACTCTGCTACAATTCCGACCGACCAACTCTGCAACTCGACACTGGAGCGGGCCAGCTTGTGCCACCTCATCAACTTACTGAGGCCTAGACACACCCCGCACATTCCAAAGTGTCCGAGATATATATATATGCCAACACGCCAAGTCACATACTTCAAATACAGTACATGTGGTCACCATTCAGTGTCAGGGCGCATTCACCTCAGTGTTTCATCGGGACATGATATGCAATGTGCACCTCGTACAATTGCATCACAAGTGACACATTTTTGTGGTACTCGGCCATTGCAATGGGTAATATTCTAAATGAGACCTGCGGGGGCAGAGCAGATTTGGGCCGTATGCTGTGGAAGCAGCCATGTTGGTAATGAGGTGGTCGTTATAACATTGCTGTGGGTCTACATAATGAGGGCAATTGATCAAAACTGGAGCGGCGGACAGAATCTGGAGCAGTCGCCCATAGCAACCAATCAGCTTTTCTTTTCAGTTTGCTCAGCTAAGCTTTGAAAATGAAAGACAGAAGCCAATCGGTTGCCATGGACAGCTGCTCCAGATTCTGTCTGCCCCAGTATTAGTAAATCCCCTCCACGTCTCTTCTCTACTATTGACAGAAATCTTTAGGTCATCGGGGCCACAGGGACAAACTAGATTCGGACAGATGCAAGGTGGAAGGTGATTGGTTACTAGGGGCAACTTGCTCCAGTTTTGATAACTTCCCCTCAACGTGCGGTCCGGTGTTGGCTATTTATATCCAGCATTTTGGTTTGTTTAGTCCAGGGGTGGGCAACCCTGGCCCTCCAGCTGTTCTGGAACTACAAGTCCCATGAGGCATTCCAAGACTGACAGTTACATGCATGGTTCCCAGAGGCATGTTGGCATTTGTAGTTAAAGCACAGCTGGAGGTCCGGAGTTGACCACCCTGGTTAGAAAACCATAGACCTCGCACATGGAAAAGGAACAGTTGGCGTTACCCATGGCAACACTTAAATGCATCCTTTCTGTAGCCTGGCCTAGCAACATAAATGAGATAAAGCAGAACTTTACCCCCCCCCCCACCTCCCCCCAAAGGGGTATGCAGCATACAGAACGTAAACATAAAAATCATTTGTACAATAAAACACTTTTGAGGAACGTACATTTTTTTCCTAGTTTCCCGAAGGCACTGGTGACATAGTCCTGGCCTCCTGCGAAGGCAACATTAGCAGTGCCTTCATCAGCTAGATACTGCGCATGTGCCGAGGGCACTGGTGACATAGTCCTGGCCTCCTGTGAAGGCAACATTAGCAGTGCCTTCATCAGCTAGATACTGCGCATGTGCCGAGGGCACTGGTGACATAGTCCTGGCCTCCTGTGAAGGCAATATTAGCAGTGCCTTCATTAGCCAGATACTGCGCATGCGCCAAGGGCACTGCTGACATAGTCCTGGCCTCCTTCAAAGTCCACATTAGCAGTGCATTCATCAGCCAGATACTGCGCGTGTGCTGAGGGCACTGCTGACATAGTCCTGGCCTCCTGGGAAAGGCCGCATCACTAGTGCCTTCATCAGCCACATACTGCGCATGCACCCTGAGAGATCTACAGCGATTGTTATTGAAGGATAACAAGCCACGCCAGGTCATGAGATGTTACAGGTAACGTGTCTTAGGCTCTTGCTGTGGATGCCCTTCTGGTCGCGCCGCAACAGAAGCGCGGCACATTTGTAGCTCGTTACAGCTCGTTGGCAAACACCAGCATCCGTGCGCTGCCAGCTTGCCTCGGACCCGCCGCAGACCCATCTACAAAGTGCAGAAGAAGCAGATTGACCCCCTTCCAAACTGACAGAGGGAGCAGCTATTCTGAGAGCAAGCGGATCTGTTTGTGACACTCAATCTGCCCGACTCTACGGCCAAGGTTCATCAATTCATCAAGTGTCAATGTGCTGGACACCGCCAACCGTCCCCTGACGAGGACCAGGACACGCATGCCAGGAGCCATAATAAAGACAAACAGTTCAGTGCCCTGCACCCGATGACACCGGTCTAGTAAAAAGAATATTTGTACAACCAGAGACGCCCGTTGCGATCTAAGCGTTGCATCACGGTCAGCGGAATGGAGAGCGGGCACAGGTGCCAATGGATAGAAGAATCCGGCGTGTCCATCCGGATTGCAGCAGAGGTGACTGAAAAGGAGAACTTTCATATTAAATGCGTCCCTAGGAAAGTCCGTATAAAATGTACAATTAAAAAGGATAGAATGGGATTTAAGAGGCTTATGGAACTTCCTGCCTACCATCCGGGACCCCTGGTGGCAAAAATGACTCCTTGTTACCTCTTTATTTATATAAAAGTGGACATAAGAGTTATATGAAAGTGACATAAAAGCAAAATATTAAAAACATTTAAGCGGCACAACAAATGACAATAAAAGAGAAAAACAAATGTGAAAAAACAAAATGAGATAAACGAAAAGTTAATCCTAAATATACCCCCTTCCCAAAAACAAAAAACCCCACACCTTAAATAAACCTTATGAATGCTTTTTGTGCACTTTTGTCTATATTTTGGAGTCCCGGCCTACGCGTGGGTAGTCCATCTGCTGGAATATTGTTCTACGGGCTGATAGTAGTGACGGAGAGATGCTATTCTTAGTACATATGCGATGTTTAGCAGAGTGACTGGATCACATTCCTCCACGAATTAGCTGCGACTGCATAACTTTTCGCCCTGTTTTGTCTGTGTTTCTCATCCCCTTCGTCTTCTGTCTACTGAAAGTGCTCATTGGCATTGGGTTACTGCATGTTTTGGATGATCTTTAGACATTTGGCCACCAGTGACCACCACCAGGCCACCAGTATCCGTGAAAAGTCATGGACTCTTCCCTCTCTATGTCTTCTGATATTGCATGGATTGTCTGTGTAACCGGCTATGTGCACACTCCATTCTAAGGCCTCATTCGCACTAGAAAAGGCCGGCACGTACCGCTCCCGGGAAGGACAGGGGCTGCGTGTGATAAGTACGCAGCCCCTGTCCTTCTCTATGGGAGTACGCGGCCCGACGCACACCCGCCCCTACCAGTACTTCCCAGTATGGGTGGTCATGTGACTCATGTTGCTTCTTCTTGTGTCATAGCACTGGAGCTTGGTGATTGGTCCGGTGCTGGTACATTGGGTTCAGTCTTATGTAAGCTCTGCCCAGAGCTTACACAGGGCAACTTCTCCAGTTGGTGTACAGAGCAGCGGGGAAACCAAGGGAAGCCGAGTATAAGTATAGACCTTACGTGTGAGAGAACCCTGACATTTCTACGGAGAGCACTGGAGAGTTTATAGAAGAAGTAAACATGATCTGTTCCTCGTCAGCGGGGGGAATGCTTTGTTTTCCTCAAACAGTACAAGACGCGTCATTGCATAACTTCAGCTGAACTTCCCCAGTATGGACACGACTGACAAATGGTATAAAGGATTACATCTCAGCACCGGGCTGACGGCACAAGACTAGAGTGTTATAAGGGATTGGATCTCACCACCCAGCCTGATGATACAAGGCTGGAGTGTTATATAGGATCTCAGCACCCGGCCTGACAGTACAAGACTAGAGTGTTGTAAGGGATTGGATCTCAGCACCGGGCTGACGGAACAAGACTAGAGTGTTATAAGGGATTGGATCTCAGCACCCAGCCTGACAGTACAAGACTAGAGTGTTATAAGGGATTGGATCTCAGCACAGGGCTGACGGAACAAGACTAGAGTGTTATAATGGATTGGATCTCAGCACCCAGCCTGACAGTACAAGACTAGAGTGTTATAAGGGATTGGATCTCACCACCCAGCCTGATGATACAAGGCTGGAGTGTTATATAGGATTAGATCTCAGCACCCGGCCTGACAGTACAAGACTAGAGTGTTATAAGGGATTGGATCTCAGCACTGGGCTGATGATACAAGGCTGGAGTGTTATAATGGATTGGATCTCAGCACCTAGCCTGACAGTACGAGGCTGGAGTGTTATAAAGGATTGGATCTCAGCACCTGGTCTGACAGTACAAGACTAGAGTGTTATAAGGGATTGGATCTCAGCACCTGGCCTGACAGTACGAGGCTGGAGTGTTATAAGGGATTGGATCTCAGCACCTGGCCTGACAGTACGAGGCTGGAGTGTTATAAGGGATTGGATCTCAGCACCTGGCCTGACAGTACGAGGCTGGAGTGTTATAATGGATTGGATCTCAGCACCTGGCCTGACAGTATGAGGCTGGAGTGTTATAAGGGATTGGCACCCGGCCTGACAGTACAAGGTTGGAGTGTTATAATGGCTTGGATCTCAGTACCCGGCCTGACAATACGAAGCTGGAGTGTTATAAAGCATTGGATCTCAGCACCTAGCCTGATAATACAAGGCTGGAGTATTATAAAGTATTGGATCTCACCCATTGACTGTCATTGTCTGCAGGTATTAAATCATCTCTGACTGCTGCTGTTCAAATCTGCTCATCTGACCTTCATCCAGCCACATAAGATAACTTTAATATCACTCCCGCTCTGCGTATTGGTTGTTGATAACAAGGAACATTCCATCATGCAGGAATTGGCTCTTTTATCCTATAACCATTCTATATAACTATCAGGACCAGAGGTTTGAGAAGGTGTTTGGATATATCTGGGGATCTTAGAATAGGTCAAATAATTTCCATTGCAAAATTAACTTTCGTTCTTACCTTGACGCAGCAATCTCCGATTTCTGTCTTGCTATGGCCGCCGCTCTCTGGGCCCCTTCAATACTTCTGTCCACTTTCTGCCTGATCTTGGCACTCTTTAAGGGGATCACTCTCTTCTTCATCCCTTTGATTAAAACATTATTCCTGTATTTTCCTTCTTCCTTTGATCCATCTGGAAAGGTGGTACACCCATAGCCATGTCTCAGGTTGTCCAGCCATTCTCCTTCGTACTTCAGCCCACTGGAGCGCTCGCTGATCCCAAACCCAGACCTCTTGTCTTTCTTCCACTCGCCCATGTAGGTCTCGGTGGTGGTGGCATCAATATCTGCTTCAACTGGTGGAAATTCTTCTCCTTCCGTTCCATCACCAAAGCTCACAGTTGAGGTGGCATCACTAGCTCCGGAGCTCATCCCACCCACACTTTTCAGAAAGCTCAGCTTACTTCTCTGGGAGGAAAGTGAGGTCTTAGATTCAGATTTCCTCAGTTTACCCAGAAGAGACCCTCTCCTGAAGATGCCTTTCTTTTGAGCCTTGAGAACTTCGGGGTCCGCGTAGAGGGAGAGAGCGAAGCCTCCTCTGGTGATGGTGGAGCACACAATGTTATCAGGTGAAGGGGACGTAGCGTCGTGTTGAGCCAATGTGCCATTGCTGTGTTCACTGCGGAGGGAGGTCAATGAGGTGCGTAAGGGATTTCGGACAGTTGCTGCCATTCCATATGGAACACTCTGACGTACACCATAGCCTTCACGGATTCCATTTCCAAACTGACCCTGGTAGGTTCCTGAAGAAAAATCCAACAAGTTATTCATTTTATCTACTCTTAGTTTCATTTACACAGACAATGATCATTGGAAGGGCAAGCACTTGTTATATCTATTGGAGTTTCCTGGACAAAGATCCCCCCAACAAGCAATAGTTCTCACTCACCTTGGAGTCTAACTCATGCTGCTACAGGAGGGAATATTCCCTCAAACTTCATATTTGGAGGACCTGACCTTTAAGCTACCCATAGACAGGTTTTCTAGACAGACAGGCACAATTTCTCCTCTTGAACAAGATCATCTAATAGAGAAACCACTCTATAAATGGAGTACAAAATATTTTTGAGGGTTACCTGAGCTTGGCCCAAGACTACAGCAAGGTAACACGTAACTTGCTAAAGCAACATGATAATACAAAGACGCAAACAGATTTCCAGTTGCAGGATGCTTAAACAAGACCTATTAGAGATGTCTCTGATTGAGTCTGTGATTGAGCATTGTGCAGCTGCAATTAATAAGACTTACCAGATTATCACAGGATAGGTGTCTTAATTACTTAATTGCCACAGATCTAGAATCCCAATGAGAGAGCCAGTATAGTAAGGTCCTAGGAACAGATTTGCAAACCACCCTCTACTTTGTAAGCAGTCTGGTGTAGAATGAGAGCAGCTGTGGCTTCATTCAGCAGAAGTCCATCCAGATTTGCGGAAAATCCAGATTTTTTTTACCTAAGGGATCCAGTCCAGAGAAAGACTTAGTTGTTTCTGCCATTAACCCTCCATTAGCCCAAAGTGTAACTTTGACTGCAACATGTAAACATCCAAATCCAAAATGTAAAAGACAAACTGTAACCAATTTGAAACACTAAGATGTCCTTCTACATGTGGTACCAAAAACACCTACACTATATGGCCAACAGTTTGTGGACACCTGACCTGATCTATATTTCAAAAGCATGTGCACATACCTCCCAACTATTGAGGTCAGGAATTTCCAGTGAAGGGTACTGCAAATTCTACAGCATACATAGACATTTTATACAATTATGAACTTCCAACCTTGTGGTAAGAGTTTGGTGAAGGCCCCTTTCTGTTCCAGTATGGCTGTGCCCCTGTGCACAATGCCAGCTCCATAAAGACATGATCGGATGAGTTTAGCGTGAAGGAACTTGAGTGGCCTACACAGAGCCCTGACCTCAACCCTACTGAACACCTTTGTGATAAATTGGATTACGAGCTAGGTCTTCATCACCTGACTTCACAAATATTTGTTTGGATGAACACCCAGAGACTCACTCCAATCTTGTGGAAAGCCTTCCCAGAAGAGTGGTTGGGGAAGCTTCATACTGATGCCCTTGGTTTTGGAATGGAGTCTCCAATGAGCTCATATAGGAGTGATGGCCAAGTGCCCAAAAAGTTTTGGCCATATAGTGTGCCTTCATCACACAGATGGATTTGCATGGTGTATTACCCAAATTGGAATGGAATTGGCCTCTTTGCCTTCGACACACATTCAGGTTTTTCTAATGCACAGTCCCATGCTGCCCGCTACACCACTACGGGACACAGTAGTGATATAGGCGGGGTCAGCGGAAGGAACTAAAGTGCATGGTGGATAAATGACAAGGACAGTCAGATTAACATGTGTGGCCATAGTACAGATCTTGCCTTGCTGGCAAAAGTCAACCAACAGCACCCGGTTCCCCAGAAGTAGATACAGCATCACGGTCTCTGCAGGTGCCATAAACGTGCATAATCGTGTAATCCAAGCATCCTTGTTCATCTGTGATGGGGAATATTTATTGCAAACTGATTCACGGACAGAGACCGCTGCAAATGGTTCACTCTGTATTTGTTGATAATAATCCTGAAAAGAGAAGTCAATATGAGCTGTGAAGTGTTGTCCTCCCGCTTCCACTTCCAAAGCTTAAGTAACACACTGATTGGTAGCAGCCCACCATTAACAACACTCAGCGTGAGGGTGCACAATGCGCTGGCGGTCAGCTTTCTTACCCTTTCAGGGCGGCCGCAGCCTCTAGTATTGAAGACGGGCCAATTAGTACCAGGAGAACAATGCCACCTTCATTCTCTGCCCAGCACTATGCAGGCGGCCTTTTCTTCTAAATAACACACTCCTTATTCTGGACATTGTGCCGCACACTGTGAGGACTCTTCTATAGGCACACAAGGACTGTTGTTCCAAAGCTAGCTGAGGTCATAAGTCCATCTGAAAGCAGCCTCAGCCAGGGTCATGCCTGACCAGAATGCCACATAAGAGAGTATTTTTAGCCTATCGGCAGATGTGAATGTGCCCAGCATAAAGCTGAACACGCCAATTGATGCAGATGTTTATTAAAGTTTGCAGCTAGTGTAAGTATCTAAATCTTCCTTCTGTCACAGTAGTAGCCAGGGAGAGGGAAGGGCACCACTGGAAGCTAATCAGTCTCTGCTGCTGTGTTGTTGACAGGAAACATACTGACAGGAGGAGAGAGCAGACTGATGACCTTATCAGTGCTCTGATTTTTTTTATTGGCCAACCAACAGGCTTTGGGGTGGGTTTCTTGATAAAGGTGCTGCAGTGTAGGTTGATGTGCCATAACTGCAAGGATATCTGAACAGATGCACCTACCCTCTAGTATTTAAAATGGTTCCCGTATATGTACAGTATATACAGTATATGGATTTAATCTTGTAAAGTGAATAATATCATAATATGTTTTAAAACCCTTGTCTTTATTTTGCTTCTGCCTACTAGGGTTTACCATATTTGCTTCTTGCAAGTTGGTCCTTCTTAGATACAACCCATCCCTTCAATTATAATATACAGGTTGTATGGCTCCCATAAGTGCAGATAAGTCACATCAATTGGATTAGCTTCATCAACTGTATCAACACAATAAGGGCAAGACCTGCAACCCATGGCAGAAGAGGCAACATTGGGTGCATTGGCAGGAAAGGGGAGGGGGGGGGCACAATAAGGGCAGGACCTGCAACCTATGCTGTGACAGAAGAGGGCACATTGGGTGCATTGGCAGGAAAGGGGAGGGGGGGGGCACAATAAGGGCAGGACCTGCAACCTATGCTGTGACAGAAGAGGGCACATTGGGGGCATTGGCAGGAAAGGGGGGGGGGGGGACACTATTGCATTGGCAGGAAAGGGGAGGGGGGGGGCACAATAAGGGCAGGACCTGCAACCTATGCTGTGACAGAAGAGGGCACATTGGGTGCATTGGCAGGAAAGGGGAGGGGGGGCACAATAAGGGCAGGACCTGCAACCTATGCTGTGACAGAAGAGGCCACATTGGGTGCATTGGGAGGAAAGGGATTGGGGGGCACAATAAGGGCAGGACCTGCAACCTATGCTGTGACAGAAGAGGCCACATTGGGTGCATTGGGAGGAAAGGGGAGGGGGGGCACAATAAGGGCAGTACCTGCAACCTATGCCATGGCAGAAGAGGCAACATTGGGTGCATTGGCAGGAAAGGGGAGGGGGGGCACAATAAGGGCAGGACCAGCAACCTATGCTGTGACAGAAGAGGGCACATTGGGTGCATTGGGAGGAAAGGGATTGGGGGGCACAATAAGGGCAGGACCTGCAACCTATGCCATGGCAGAAGAGGCAACATTGGGTGCATTGGCAGGAAAGGGGAGGGGGGGCACAATAAGGGCAGGACCAGCAACCTATGCTGTGACAGAAGAGGACACATTGGGTGCATTGGCAGGAAAGGGGACGGGTGGCAACCTATGCTGTTGAAGTGGTTGACAGCTCATTGAGGGGAAGATGGGCTGTATGTAGTTTGGCCTTTTCACATTGGGTGCTAAAGGACCTTATCCCAGCGCTGGATGTCAATAATGAAACCAATTCCCCAACTCTACAGTTTACTGCTCCTCCTTTCCCAATGCAAAGGGAGCCCACTTGATAGACTTGTGTTGATAAGCACACACAGACTAGATGACTTCCCTCTCAGCAGTCATTCAGAAGGTACACCGTGCTGATTGCACTGCCTGACCTACAGACAGCCACTAGAGGGAGAACTTGTACATGGCTATATGAAGTATGATAGTAAAAATATGGTACAGTGGATCCTATCAAGGAAGTATCATACAGTTCTATAAGGACAGTCATGTCACAAGGGGCAGGGGACCCCAACATATAATCCCTACAAAATCAGGGTCCCCAGCACTGAGGGGTGTGGAGCTCTGCAAGAGAACTAATTCACTGAATGCTAAGTGGATAGTGAATATCTCGCCTCCGCTACACTGCTAGTAGAAATTCTGTGATTGGCTCATTACTAATAATGCTCTTTGTATCTGTGACCATCATAATGTCTCCAGCACATGCAGGAGCAGGACAGGGAGCGTTCCCATTGCACTGTGGGCTGTGATCAGACCTGTTGAACTGTATACTGTCACTCACATTTGTTCACAAAAATACAAGCAGTGCTGCTGGGTGAATGATGAGCTGCAGCCCCCATTCCACATCTCAGTACCAGCTTGTCAGTATCATACTTGATACTCCAGACGGCTCATTTTCCACCCCCAGAGCTGGAACAGCGAGCGCTGGGAATGATATGCCACTGGAAACCCGGAGCAGAACGCTGACAGGGCGTGTTTTGCGTCAGTTGATCTCCTGAATAGACTGCGCAGTGTGATCTGATACTTGGGATGATGGATTTGTAAAGCTCAGGGGAAATGTGTCCTATTTATGAGAGGGACGGATATTACAAAAATGGGCTCTTTATCTCATCATGTCTCTGTAATGTGACAGAAAGGGGTCTGCCAGTTCTGAAAATGCCTGAGGTTGCCTGGCTGTCACTCTGGCTTCAGTATGTTGGGTGCACGACCTGGCAGAAACATGCGGATTAAGACTTCTGAGATCACTCTCACTTTTCCCATCTGCATGATTGTTTCAGGTCAGTGGCAGCGTTAAAAGCCTGCATCCCAGTTTCTTTTATTGTACTGTACAGTGTATAATGCAGTACAGGCGTCCCCCTGTCTCTGTTATTGTACTGTACAGTGGA